AAATTTATATTGGCCAGTTTGAGATAATGAAAGCAGATGCATCTCTAGCAAATCTTAAGCAGGTATTACAGTAATGTTTAATCCTGGAATACGTGGTTTACCTATTAGTAATCAAGGACGTCTTGCTTAAAGAGTTTATTACTAGTATAAGGCAGGAGCAGAAGCTAAAGACCACTAGAGTGCATTAGTATCACAACATGTACATGGTGCATGGAGAAGCATTACAGTGTACTTTGTCTCATGTCGGCAGTGTATTAAATCCTGTAATATTAAAAGTGCAGCCGCAAATTTGGTTTCTGTAATTATGTAAAATTCTTACAAAGCCATTATGCTGATAGAAGCAGGGGTGGTTTTTCTCAATAAACACTCATGCAAAATCCAATCAGACCTGTTCCTCACTTTCAGCTCTTTAAGCTACTTGCTGAGTCTGTTAGCATCAGAGCAAGGTGAGAAATATTTCATATGAATCTCTTAGAATAAGATAAAAATTACCAGAAATGTTCTCAGCTTGTACATTTCAATCATAACAAACAATGGTTGAAAGTAAACTCCATACTTAAGGAGGCACAAGAATTTAAAAACATATGCTGATTGTATTTTCCATTCATTACTGAATGCCATGAATTTGATACCTGTACTTTGAATTCTTTTAAAAATGTTACAGTACATGCTTCACTAAAACACTGTCCTAATATTTCTCCACACCAAAATTTTAATTAGAGTACAGTAGGACCCCAGTATCCGCAGGAGATACATTCCAAGACCTATCATCGATACCCGTAACCACGGATAGTAGTGAACCCTATATGCAAGTCGTTTTTTGTTTACATACATACAATGATAAAGTTTAATTGATAAATTATGAACAATAAGTCGAGAATTAGCACTTTTTCACTGATGAGAAGCACTTCACGACTTCTCTTAGACTATGAAGAACTGCCACCATCACTACTTTTGCACTCTGGTGCCATTATTAAGCAAACTTAAGGGTTATTTTTGGGCCACGGTAAACCGCAGAAGACTGAAACACTGGAGGATAGATGGGCTAGTGAGAGTAGTATAGGCAATGGGGTTGAAGATGTATGGGGTAGGTTTAAAAATGTAGTGTTAGAGTATTTAGCAGAAGTTTGTGGTTACAGGAAAGTGGGTACGGGAGGGAAGAAGAGTGATTGGTGGAATGATGTAAAGAGAGAAAAAGTTAGTATATGACAGGTTTTTACAAAATAGAAGTGATGCAAGGAGGGAGGAGTATATGGAGAGGAAAAAGAGAGGTTAAGAGAGTGGTGAAGCAATGTAAAAAGAGAGCAAATGAGAGAGTGGATGGCATGTTATCAACAAATTTTGTTGGAAGCAAGAAAAAGTTTTGAAGTGAGATTAATAAGTTGAGGAAGCTTAAAGAACGAATGGATTTGATGGTTAAAAATTGGAGAGGAGAGTTATTAAATGGAAAGTTAGATGCATTGGGAAGATAGAGAGACTATTTTCAGGAATTGTTAAATGTTGAAGATAGGGAAGCTGTGATTTCATGTATAGGGCAAGGAGAAATAACATCTTGTAGTAGTGAGGAAGAGGGAGTTGTGAGTGTGGGGAAAGTGTGTGAGGCAGTGGGTAGAATGAAAGGGGCTAAGGCAGCTGGGATTGATGGGATAAAGACAGAAATGTTAAAAGCAGGTGGGGATATAGTTTTGGAGTGGTTGGTGCTTTTATTTAATAAATGTATGGAAGAGGGTAAGGTTGAGTCCTAGGTTGTAGGTTGGTAGACAGAACCACCCAGGGAGATACTACCGTCCTGCCAAGTGAGTGTGAAATGGAAGCTTGTAATTGTTTTACATGATGGTAGGATTGCTGTTGTGTTTTTTCTGTCTCAAACATGCACGATTTCAGGTATGTCTTGCTACTTCTATTTACACTTAGGTGACACTACATATGCACAGACAACCATATATATATAAACACAAGCCCCTCTGGGTTTTCTTCTATTTCCTTACTAGTTCTTGTTTTTGTTTATTTCCTCTTATCTCCATGTGAAAGTGGAACAGAATACTTCCTCTGTGAGCCATGCGTGTTGTAAGAAGCAACTAAAATGCTGGGAGCAAGGGGCTAGTAACCCCTTCTCCTGTATGTATTACTAAATTTAAATGAGAAACTTTTGTTTTTTCTTTTGGGGCACCCTGCCTTTGTGGGATGCAGCCAGTTTGTTGAAAGAAGAAGTCTGCTGAGTATACCTGGTAAAGTGTTAGGTAGAGTTATTATTGAAAGAATTAAGAATAAGATGGAGAGTAGGACAGCAAATGAATAAGTAAGCTTTAGGAAGGGTAGGGGGTGTGTAGCTGAAGTGTTTATAGTGAAACATATAGGTGAACAGTATTTACATGAAGGTAAAGAGGTTTTAGTGGCACTTATGGATTTGGAAAAGGTGCATGACAGGGTGGATAGGGGTGCAATGTGGCAGATATTGCAAATGTATGGAACAGGAGGTAAGTTGTTGAAAGTAGTGAAGAGTTTTTATGAGGATAGTGAGAATCAGGTTAGAGTATGTAGGAGAGGAGGAGACTATTTCCCAGTAAAAGCAGGCCTTAGACAAAGATGTGTGATGTCACCATGGTTGTTCAATATATATATATATATTGATGGGGTTGTAAGAAAAGTGAATGCTCGGGTGTTGGCAAGAGGTGTGGGGTTAAAAGATAAAGAATCTAACACAAAGTGGGAGTTGTCACAGTTGCTCTTTGCTGATGACACTGTGCTTCTGGAAGATTCTGACGAGAAATTGCAAAGGTTGGTGGATGAGTTTGGTAGGGTATGTAAAAGAAGAAAATTAAGAGTGAATATAATGAAAGACTGGATATCAGATTGGAGGGCGAGAGTATGGAGGTGGTGAATGTATTCAGATATATAGGAGTGGACATGTCAGCAGATGGGTCTATGAAAGATAAGGTGAATCACAGAACTGACAAGAGGAAAAAGGTGAGTGGTGCACTGAAGAGTCTGTGGAGACAAAGGACGTTATCCATGGAAGCAAAGAGGGGAATGTATGAGAGTATAGCTATACCATCGCTCTTATATGGGTGTGAAGCATGGGTGGTGAATGTTGCAGCAAGGAGAAAGCTGGAGGTACTGGAGATGTCATGTCTGAGGGCACTGTGTGGTGTGAATATAATGCAGAGAATTTGTAGTTTGGAAATTAGGAGGAGGTGCAGGATTACCAAAACTATTATCTAGAGGGCTGAGGAGGGGTTGTTGAGATGGTTCGGACATGTAGAGAGGATGGAAGAAAATAGATTGATTTCAAGAGTGTATAAATCTGTAGTGTAGGGAAGGCGGGGTAGAGGTCGGCCTAGGGAAGGCAGGAGGGAGGGGAGGTAAAGGAAATTTTGTGTGTGAAGGGCTTGGACTTCCAGCAAGCACACCTGAGTGTGTTAGATAGGAGTAAATGGAGACAAATGGTTTCTAGGACTTGACGTACTGTTGGATTGTGAGCAGGGTAATATTTGTGAAGGGATTCAGGGAAACCAGCAGGACGAACTTGAGACCTGGATATGGGAAGTACAGGTCTCCCTCAACATTCGCGAGGGTTAGGGGATCAAGAGCCTCGCGAATGTTGAAAAACCGTGAATGTTTGGTGCCCCAATATATTGTAGGGAAATATATTACAATACTGCTTCCTTAACTTGTTGAACCATGAATAATCATAAAATACATGAAAACGTCGTAAATTGTACTAAAGATATACATGTTATGCTTTAATAACGTATGTTATTTAATAACATGTATGTTAATAACATGTATGTTATTAAATACCACAGACTCCACCAATGCCTCCACCACTGCGAGTCCCTACTACCCTCCCTCCGACCCCCGCAACTGGCAGCCAGCCCTCCCACCACTCAGTGTGGTGAGTGTTTTGTTTGTTCATTATTTATTATTAAACTACAGTATAAATAATGTAAACCCATTCATGACTGCATATTGGAATGGCTATTAGGACAGGTATTAGACGGTGACATCATGTGTTTACTCTTGAACACAGCAAAGAATCGAACATTTCTGCTATTGCTAATAATAACAATAGTAATAGTAATAATAATAATAATAATAATAATAATAATAATAAATACGATATAATTGAAGAAGGAAATTGTACAAAAATATGAGGGAGTGGTTGACACATCGTCAGTGTGACTTTGTTTATGCTGGAGTGAACATTAGTCTCCCTGCTCTTCCAAACATTTCACAATAATTCAGCAGTTGAGGCAGTGGTATTTAATAACAGAAGGGTGCTTTACACTACAGTTTTTAAACTGCAACATTAACACCCCTCCTTCAGAGTGCAGGCACTGTACTTCCCATCTCCAGGCAGGCCGGACTTGAGTCCTGGAGATGGGAAGTACAGTGCCTGCACTCTGAAGGAGGGGTGTTAATGTTGCAGTTTAAAAACTGTAGTGTAAAGCACCCTTCTGTTATTAAATACCACTGCCTCAACTGCTGAATTATTGTGAAATGTTTGGAAGAGCAGGGAGACTAATGTTCACTCCAGCATAAACAAAGTCACACTGACGATGTGTCAACCACTCCCTCGTATTTTTGTACAATTTCCTTCTTCAATTATATCATATTATTATTATTATTATTATTATTACTATTGTTATTATTGGCTGTAGCAGAAATGTTTAATTCTTTGCAGTGTTCAAGAGTAAACACATGATGTCACCGTCTAATACCTGTCTGAATAGCCATTCCAATATGCAGTCATGAATGGGTTTACATTATTTATACTGTAGTTTAATAGCAAATAATGAACAAACAAAACACTCACCACACTGAGTGGTGGGAGGGCTGGCTGCCAGTTGTGGGGGTCGGAGGGAGGGTAGTAGGGACTCGCAGGTGGCGGGAAACTTAAATATGATTTGGCGGCTGGGAATTTGGCAGTTGGGAATTCGCGAATGTGTGAAGCCCGTGATAGTTGAAAACGTGAATGTTGATGGAGACCTGTACAGTGCCTGCACTCTGAAGAAGGGGTGTTAATGTTGCAATTTTATAACTGTAGTGTAAGTGCACCTCTGGCAAGACTGATGGAGTGAATGATGGTGAAAGCTTTTCCTTTTTGGGCCACTCTACCTTGGTGGGAAATGGCCGATATGTTAATAAAAAAAAAAATAAATAACAAACAGTGGAAACTGAACTGGAGGATACGACGGTCCTACTGTACTTGTAAAGAAAGAAAAACTATAAATAATAAACTCAAATACTAAATACTTTTTCTGAACTAGTAAAATTTACCACATTCACCAATTTTCAACTACATCTAGGTGGCATACATGTAAAAGTTTATATTTTTAAGTAGTAACTGAAACATAATTTACATTGTTATGAAGTGTCGACACACCCTGAAAGTTTCAATTACTCAAGTACAATTAATGTGCTTCAGCTTCATGTCATTTTTATCAGACTGTTTTAATGAATGAGAAATTTTCCCTTAACTAGTTACTTACCAACTGGACTGACTCATATCACTCATACAAATAGTTTTTCTGAGAAGTAATTTCTTTTTTCCTCATACACCATAATGAATTGTTTCGTACTTAAAAAAGATGCCCACGCAAAATATTTTCTGGCGGGACTATTGATAAAAAAATCACATAGATAATTATGTCAAAGTTGCAGGCATGTGCATTTATGACAATTTCTCAGTCTTGGAACCACTGTTACAGAGGTAGATCCTTTAAGTTTTAGGTTATAAAAATGTTGGTAAGTACTATTATGCATATCTCAAGGCTGCTAAGTACAGGAATTCATAATCTTGACCTTTATTTGCAGCATCAAGTTTTTTATTACACTATACATTTTATGACTGTTCTTTCACACTATTTACACATTGGATGTACAGTAACTTCAGAAATATTCACCGGTATAATAAACAACTTTTGCATCGGTTACCAGCTAATAATGGGGAACTTAAGTTTTCAAAAGTCCATGTCCTCATGTGCCAAGGTGCCTTTTGTGACACACTGAAGAATGGCTATTTTGGCTTCTGGTCTGAGGTTTTAACCAAACTTTGGGCCTGATACACAATTATTCCGGTACTCTGATCAGTTACTACCTGTATGGTTGTTTTGCAGAAGAAACAGTCAGACCTGTTCATCAAATGCTGTGTCACACATGCCCTGGAAAATTAAAAAAGAAAGTCAAAATGGATTATTATTTACAGTTTGACTTCTTGTTAAATTTGGCACATTTAGGTGTTAATAAAAGAAAGTAATGTTTAAGGAAAAAACAAGCAAAACTGATAAAACTTGTATACATGTACTGCAATATAAAAACAACAGAAAAATAACACTGGTCAACAACCAAAATGCTTCTGAGACCAGAGTAGCAATTTTCAACTAATTTTAGGTCACTGATAATGAATATCATGGTTAAAATTGTTTGTTAGCTCTACTTTTCAATGTACACCTATACCTATGTGTCACAACAGGTTCCAACAGGCTTGCAGCAGTGTGTTTCTTACCACACTCACAGTCTCAATGCCCTTCATTATTGTTCCAGCAGTCATAGAAGGTGGTCGTGATGTACAAGTTTATATTTGGAGGTGAAAGGTAGGTGATTTTCTTAGCCAAACATTTTTTAAACTTATAATAAATATGTGAATGGGACAGCCATGCAAGAGGTTCCCACTACATCAGGAGAGACTGGCCACCTCGTCAATCATTGGAACCCGAGATGAAAAATGTTCAACATCCACCTCTCATTGAACCGAACAAAATTTTGCTACCACCACTACACATAAAACTGGGGATCGTGAAAAACTCTGTAAAAGCTATGGACAAATTTGGTCAGGGATTCACGTATTTAACATCAAAATTCCCCACTGAGCAATGCTAAGATAAGAGAGGGAGTCTTCAATGGTCCTCAGATTCGAGAGCTTCTTAAAGATGGTGACTTTGAATCAGACCTTCATGGGGAGGAGAAAGCTGCTTGGGAAGCATTCAAGTTAGTGGCGAAGGGATTTCTTGGAATCAGAAGGGTAGGCAACTGTGAAGAATTGGTGGAAAACGTCATCAAGGCTTACAAGAACATGAGATGTAACATGTCACTTACTATTGCTGGACATTGGCAAGAGATGATTCTTCAGCCCACTATAAGCATCAAGCAAAAAGGAAGAGTAGGTACGGATTAGAGTTTAAAACGTACTGACACATATTGTATGTTATAATAAAATACAGTGGACCCCTGAGTTTCGTGATTAATCTATTCCAGAGAGTCTGCCGAAGGACGAAATTGATGAATGGCGAAACCATTTTCCCCGTAAGAAATAATGGAAATAAAATTAATCCGTTCCAGACACCCAAATAAAATAAATAAATATAAATATAAATATATATATATATATATATATATATATATATATATATATATATATATATATATATATATATATATATATATATACAATGTATATATATGCAAAACAACCACTCTGAAAGAATAGAGAAATTCCAAGCGCTTTCGTGACTACTCACATTATCAAGGAACTATGAAAGTGAAGCATCCAAGGAAGCTATATAAGGGGTCGGCCAGCACCTCACTATCAGATCCCACAACGGTTAAACACGTGATGCGCGGCGAGCCAACTTGGATAGGTCCTTTGCAAAACTCACCCCCAAGCTATTTATTTGTCCAGTGTATTATTAAATTCTACCCAAATTCTATTAATTATAAATGGATCTAATTTATATAAACCAAAGGAAATATTCATATTATTGTCAAAATTGCTTTTTATGAAACAAGATTCAATTATATTCCTGTCGACCATGGACTTGCTTGATACTACTTTCTCAACTTTTTGAAAATCAAGTGGATGGTTAAAATCTCTTACATGAATAAATAGAGCATTGGAATCTTGTCCAGTTGTACAGAAAACCTACAAATAACTGTTCCTATGTCCACTATTATTCCTCGCATCAAGATAGAGTCAAACTGTCTGTTTTCTCATCAATGTTTTTGAGAGCTTTACGAATTTGTAGTCCTGAGTTCATAGATGAGGAAATATCCAAAATTTATGAAATAGGTAATGATTTAAAATACCCAAGAAATGTAATTGATAAATCTTTTAAAGTTGCTAGGAACACTTTTTATAATCCAAAAAAGGGCAACCAGCCTTATTCAACTAAAAATATGTTGGTTCTCCCTTACCATGAAAACTTGGTTGATATGCCTTCTCTTCTTAAGACTTTTAATATTAAAGTTGTATTCAAAAATCTTGATACAGTAAAAAAACTTTTGATTAAGAATTCCCCCAAAATGCTGATGGATGTGTCTATAAGATTCCTTGTAAAATTTGCGATAAAGTTTATTACGGTCAAACTGGTAAAATCTCGAACTAAGATTAAAACAACATAAATATAGCATTAGAACTGGACAAGATTCCAATGCTCTATTTATTCATGTAAGAGATTTTAACCATCCAATTGATTTTCAAAAAGTTGAGAAAGTAGTATCAAGCAAGTCCATGGTCGACAGGAATATAATTGAATCTTGTTTCATAAAAAGCAGTTTTGACAATAATATGAATATTTCCTTTGGTTTATATAAATTAGATCCATTTATAATTAATAGAATTTGGGTAGAATTTAATAATACACTGGACAAATAAATAGCTTGGGGGTGAGTTTTGCAAAGGACCTATCCAAGTTGGCTCGCCGCGCGTCACGTGTTTAACCGTTGTGGGATCTGATAGTGAGGTGCTGGCCGACCCCTTATATAGCTTCCTTGGATGCTTCACTTTCATAGTTCCTTGATAATGTGAGTAGTCACGAACGCGCTTGGAATTTCTCTATTCTTTCAGAGTGGTTGTTTTGCATATTTTGAAATCACCTGTTTACTGTGATCTTATTGCATGTATATGTACTCACCTAGTTGTACTCACCTAGTTGAGGTTGCGGGGGTCGAGTCCGAGCTCCTGGCCCCGCCTCTTCATGTATGTATGTATGTATGTATGTATGTATGTATGTATGTATGTATGTATGTATATATATATATGTATGTATGTATATATATATATATATATATATATATATATATATATATATATATATATATATATATATATATATATATCAAATTAAATAAAGATTTACATACAGAAAACAATGAGAAATCAAGTACATATGTATATAAAATAATAATAACATTACACTTACCTTTACTGAAGACTTCTGGGTGGATGGAAGGGGAAGGGAGAGGATGAAGGTGCACTATTGTTTGGAAGGGGAATCCCCTTCCATAAAGACTTAAGGTACCAAGTCCTTATCTGGGGTTACTTCCCTTCTTTGTTTTTTAATGCCACTGGGAACAACTTGAGAGTCACTGGACCCCTGTCATACAAAATATCTGTCCAGAGACCTCTGTTTCTGGCATTTCTTTAAGATTTGTCTGAAGTGGGACACAACATTGTCATTGTACATGTTGCCAACATGGCCTGCAACAGCTATGTCAGGGTGAAGTTCATCCATAAATGCTTGCACTTCAGCCCACTTTGCACAGATGTCCTTAATCTTTGAAGAAGGCACCTTCCTCCATCTCTCTTCCTCTTCCTTTGAAGCAATTTCCTGAGCTAAGGTCTGTTGCTGTTGCACATGAAGGTCTTGCAGCTCTGTAGTGGTTAGCTCTTCATCGTGGTCCTCCACCAACTCGTCCACATCCTCCAAGTTCACATCCAACCCCATGGAATTCCCCAGTGACACAATACTTTCCACAACTGGCATAGGCTCCTCAGGGTCAGCCCCAAACCCTTCAAAGTCCCTCTCTTGTACACATTCAGGCCACAATTTTCTCCAAGCAGAGTTCAAAGTCCTGCAAGTCACTCCCTCCCAAGTCTTACCTATAAGGTTTATGCAATGGAGGATATTGAAGTGATCTTTCCAGAACTCTCTTAGGGTCAATTCAGTGTCTGAGGTCACTTCAAAGCACTTTTGAAACACTGCTTTGGTGTACAGTTTTTTTTGAAGTTTGAAATGACATGCTGGTCCATGGGCTGGAGGAGAGGAGTTGTATTAGGGGGCAAGAACTTCACTGTGATGAAATGAAACTCCTCCACCATTTGCTCTTCCAAGTCTGGAGGATGAGCAGGAGCATTGTCCATTACCAGGAGGCACTTAAATTCCAATTTATTTTCCAGGAGGTATTTCTTCACACTGGGGCCAAACACTTCATTAAACCAATCAAGGAAAATTTCCCTTGTGACCCATGCTTTACTCTTAGCCTTCCACATCACACACAATTTACTCTTGGCGACACTGTTTTTCTTGAACAATCTGGGATTTTCAGAGTGAGAGATTAGTAAAGGCTTCACTTTGCAATCCCCACTTGCATTACTACAAAACATGAGAGTCAGCCTGTCTTCCATAGGCTTGTGTCCAGGGAGTGCCATTTCCTCCTGTGTGATGTAGGTCCTCTTTGGCATTTTCTTCCAAAACAGGCCTGTTTTGTCACAATTGAACACTTGTTGGGGTTTGAATTTTTCAGTGTCTACATACCCCCTTAAACTCCTGTACAAACTTCTCAGCTGCCCTTTTGTGTGAACTGGCAGCCTCACCATGCCTTACCACACTGTGTATGCCACTACACTTCTTAAATCTCTCAAACCAGCCTTTGCTGGCCTTAAAATCACAAACATCACCACTCATTGCAGGCATTTTCTTTACGAGGTCGTCATGCAACTGCCTTGCCTTTTCACATATTATTGACTGCATAATACTATCTCCTGCTAGCTGTTTTTGGGCAATCCACACCAACAACAACCTCTCCACTTCTTCGAGGGTTTGCTATCTCTTTTTTGTCAGCATATCTACCCCTTTTGCAACAACAGTCCACTTTATTTCTTTTCCCTTCGCCACGCTCGAAGTGATGGTTGAATGGGGTTTGCCATACATCCTGGCAAGCGCTGTTAACACGCACTCCACTCTCATATTTTCAATGATTTCTTTCTTGAATTCGATCGTGTTCCTCACTTTCTTTACCAAAGGGCTGGTACTAGCTTTCTTTGGGCCCTTGGTGACTTATTAAGCAGTTGCAAACACAAAAAACAATGGATTATTATGAAATGTATCGTATGAACCCATGGGGTGATGGTCACTCGCTGGTAAACAATGGCACACTGAGTGTGAATGGTGCGGGAGACTGGCTTTGTGTGTGCACTGACGGCGGATGCATAACGGACGGTCGCCGAATTATGAGGCCAATCACAAACCGCGAGGCTATGTTTTGGCGAAAAAAGTTGCCGAAAGTCGGATTTCACGAAAGTCGCGGCCACCGAACGGCGGGGTTCACTGTAATCAAATATTATGTCTCGTCTCTTTAGACCTATAGCCAATAAGCATTTTACAAGTGATATTTGGATTCAGGACATGAAAATACATAAGAATTAACTAATATCATTTAAGAAGCATACAATTTTTAAAAAATTGTTGATCAGTGTAATTAATCATAACTGGGAAGGCTAAATGATGTGCCTGATGTACTTCCATTTTATATTACAATATTTTTCTCTTCTTCCTTTTTATGCACACTCAGACAAGCATACAAGTTAAGAGACGGGACCTAGAACTAGAATTCACTCCTGCAAGCTCAAACAAGCAATTTAAAACGTGCATACATGTAGAAGGACACCTGGAACCTGCAGGAGGCCCTAGACAGGATACTAGTTAAACAAGTGGTTACCAGTTCAATTACAGGTGTAAAGAATGAAACTAGACACTGGCAAAAAGACACCAATAGTGTACCACCTGTGGATGAATTCATAGAAAAATACCTGGAAGTTAATATTACACTGAACTTATCATCTAAAGTGCACAGAGAAATTTTTTTTTAACACACCAACCATCTTTCATCAAGGCAGAGTGACAAGAAGAAATGCTTTCACCATCATTCACTCCGTCAGAGAATAGGGAAGTTAGGAGAAGAGGCAGAGGAGGGAAGCTAAAAAAAAAAAAAAAAAAAAAAAAACTGGAATTGCAGGTAAGTACAAGACAGAATAAAATTTATTTCATGGCCACATCAGAAGGAAAATAACAAGGGACTTCAGTAATAACAATGAGAAAAGGGGGGCAGACTCAGGGGATATGAAATGAGCTCAACAAAAGATTGCATTGTATGTATGATCTTGATATGAAAAACAGGTACAGTCCTCAGGGCACAGAGAAAGTAAACAAGAATAAAGAATAATCTCTTTACCAGGGCTGTACCAAGAATGAGAGGGCACTGTTTGAAATTGCACACTCATGTTATTTAATATTCATGAGCCATGTGAATATTAGATAACATTTCTTCACAATAAATGTTGTAAATAAGTGGAAAGAACTGAACAATGGCATAGTGGAAGCAGAATATGTCCAAAAGAGGGTTAAAAAAAAAGATTTGGCTATTTTATGCAATTTGGTTGAAAGTTATTACAGTAGGAGACACCATGCACTAGAACTCACACCTAAACCTTCCCATAAACTCGTACAGATAATTTCATTATCTACAAACTCAGCTTAATAAATATGCAGATTCACAATCATTTAGTCTAACCTGCAGGACGAATGCGTGCAGGGTTGAAACACTGCAGAGGCAGGATATGCATAACAAATTGTACATAAAGTATCTTCATCATCTCCTGAAGTGGGTTCTCCACGGCTCTCAACACAAGCTTCAAGATGCATGATGACCCTCTCCACTTGGCTTATTTCAGAACTAGTAACATCATCAAGGTCTGAATTGGTAAAATAATAAAATTAAAATATTGTATGCAGTTCAATCAATTAGTATTCTTTACTGTAAACAAATTTAATATCTTTAGTGTACTTTTTATCATATTTCTACAGAAAAGTATAAATAAATTCTGAGATCAAAGTAAGTAAGCTAATTAGAAGCATGTGAAGTACTTTGTTCAGCGATTGTCAATAGTAATCATTACAAGTACACTAAATTCATTGCCTCAATATCTTCATTGAAATGTATGAGAACTATGCAAGCATGGCAGTTTAATTACCTTATACTTTACCTTAGATATACAATAGATGGATTTCAAGAGTTCCTACTCTTATCAACTTGGCCCTGGGCCAGGCTTATCTGGTGCTTGCCTGCTCAATCAGGCTGATGCTGCTGCAGTCTGCTGGCTCGCATATCCATCACAGCTTGGTTGATCTATCACTTGGTGTAGGAACTTGTCAAGTATGCTCTTGACTTCTACACTGTTCTGGCAGTGTTTCTGATATCTTCTGGTATGATGTTAAAAAATAGTCTGGAACTATAGATGCTGATACCACGTTGTCTTATTGTGCCCACAACACCCCTGCTTTTCACTGGGTTTATTTTGAATATTCTCCCACATCTCTCACTCCAGCATGTCATTATGGCAGTGTGCAGATTTGAGACTAAGACCTTAACCCAGTGAGGGTTCAGACCCCCAAAGTGAAACTTGTCCACAGGGTCCAAGAATTTTCAAAGAAAGCTTTTGTTATTTTTTCTTATAAAATGGTAGATAATCTTTTTCTGTGGGTAATAAAACAAAAAGTACGAAATTTGATGGAAAATTGACGAAATTATGCTCTTGTGAATTTTGCTGCATCAGCGATATTTGCGCATCAGCGATATTGCCCACTTTGACTCCCATTTTAGGCCAATTACATTTTTCCAGTCGATCAAATTCTTAGTTATTTCACTAGTTATTTCTGTCTCATAAACACGCTAAGATAACAGGGATATCTTGCTACTCCTACTTACACTTTGGTCACACTTCACAGACACGCACATGCATATATATATATACATACATCTAGGTTTTTCTCCTTTTTCTAAATAGCTCTTGTTCTTTTTTATTTCTTCTATTGTCCATGGGGAAGTGGAAAAGAATCTTTCCTCCGTAAGCCATGCGTGTCGTATGAGGCGACTAAAATGCCGGGAGCAATGGGCTAGTAACCCCTTCTCCTGTATACAATTACTAAAAAAGAGAAGAAGAAAAACTTTATAAAACTGGGTTGCTTAAATGTGCGTGGATGTAGTGCGGATGACAAGAAACAGATGATTGCTGATGTTATGAATGAAAAGAAGTTGGATGTCCTGGCCCTAAGCGAAACAAAGCTGAAGGGGGTAGGAGAGTTTCAGTGGGGGAAATAAATGGGATTAAATCTGGAGTATCTGAGAGAGTTAGAGCAAAGGAAGGGGTAGCAGTAATGTTAAATGATCAGTTATGGAAGGAGAAAAGAGAATATGAATGTGTAAATTCAAGAATTATGTGGATTAAAGTAAAGGTTGGATGCGAGAAGTGGGTCATAATAAGCGTGTATGCACCTGGAGAAGAGAGGAATGCAGAGGAGAGAGAGAGATTTTGGGAGATGTTAAGTGAATGTATAGGAGCCTTTGAACCAAGTGAGAGAGTAATTGTGGTAGGGGACTTGAATGCTAAAGTAGGAGAAACTTTTAGAGAGGGTGTGGTAGGTAAGTTTGGGGTGCCAGGTGTAAATGATAATGGGAGCCCTTTGATTGAACTTTGTATAGAAAGGGGTTTAGTTATAGGTAATACATATTTTAAGAAAAAGAGGATAAATAAGTATACACGATATGATGTAGGGCGAAATGACAGTAGTTTGTTGGATTATGTATTGGTAGATAAAAGACTGTTGAGTAGACTTCAGGATGTACATGTTTATAGAGGGGCCACAGATATATCAGATCACTTTCTAGTTGTAGCTACACTGAGAGTAAAAGGTAGATGGGATACAAGGAGAATAGAAGCATCAGGGAAGAGAGAGGTGAAGGTTTATAAACTAAAAGAGGAGGCAGTTAGGGTAAGATATAAACAGCTATTGGAGGATAGATGGGCTAATGAGAGCATAGGCAATGGGGTCGAAGAGGTATGGGGTAGGTTTAAAAATGTAGTGTTAGAGTGTTCAGCAGAAGTTTGTGGTTACAGGAAAGTGGGTGCAGGAGGGAAGAGGAGCGATTGGTGGAATGATGATGTAAAGAGAGTAGTAAGGGAGAAAAGTTAGCATATGAGAAGTTTTTACAAAGTAGAAGTGATGCAAGGAGGGAAGAGTATATGGAGAAAAAGAGAGAAGTTAAGAGAGTGGTGAAGCAATGTAAAAAGAGAGCAAATGAGAGAGTGGGTGAGATGTTATCAACAAATTTTGTTGAAAATAAGAAAAAGTTTTGGAGTGAGATTAACAAGTTAAGAAAGCCTAGAGAACAAATGGATTTGTCAGTTAAAAATAGGAGAGGAGAGTTATTAAATGGAGAGTTAGAGGTATTGGAAGATGGAGGGAATATTTTGAGGAATTGTTAAATGTTGATGAAGATAGGGAAGCTGTGATTTCGTGTATAGGGCAAGGAGGAATAACATCTTGTAGGAGTGAGGAAGAGCCAGTTGTGAGTGTGGGGGAAGTTCGTGAGGCAGTAGGTAAAATGAAAGGGGGTAAGGCAGCCGGGATTGATGGGATAAAGATAGAAATGTTAAAAGCAGGTGGGGATATAGTTTTGGAGTGGTTGGTGCAATTATTTAATAAATGTATGGAAGAGGGTAAGGTACCTAGGGATTGGCAGAGAGCATGCATAGTTCCTTTGTATAAAGGCAAAGGGGACAAAAGAGAGTGCAAAAATTATAGGGGATAAGTCTGTTGAGTGTACCTGGTAAAGTGTATGGTAGAGTTATAATTGAAAGAATTAAGAGTAAGACGGAGAATAGGATAGCAGATGAACAAGGAGGCTTTAGGAAAGGTAGGGGGTGTGTGGACCAGGTGTTTACAGTGAAACATACAAGTGAACAGTATTTAGATAAGGCTAAAGAGGTCTTTGTGGCATTTATGGATTTGGAAAAGGCGTATGACAGGGTGGATAGGGGGGCAATGTGGCAGATGTTGCAAGTGTATGGTGTAGGAGGTAGGTTACTGAAAGCAGTGAAGAGTTTTTACGAGGATAGTGAGGCTCAAGTTAGAGTATGTAGGAAAGAGGGAAATTATTTCCCAGTAAAAGTAGGCCTTAGACAAGGATGTGTGATGTCACCGTGGTTGTTTAATATATTTATAGATGGGGTTGTAAGAGAAGTAAATGCGAGGGTCTTGGCAAGAGGCGTGGAGTTAAAAGATAAAGAATCACACACAAAGTGGGAGTTGTCACAGCTGCTCTTTGCTGATGACACTGTGCTCTTGGGAGATTCTGAAGAGAAGTTGCAGAGATTGGTGGATGAATTTGGTAGGGTGTGCAAAAGAAGAAAATTAAAGGTGAATACAGGAAAGAGTAAGGTTATGAGGATAACAAAAAGATTAGGTGATGAAAGATTGAATATCAGATTGGAGGGAGAGAGTATGGAGGAGGTGAACGTATTCAGATATTTGGGAGTGGACGTGTCAGCGGATGGGTCTATGAAAGATGAGGTGAATCATAGAATTGATGAGGGGAAAAAGAGTGAGTGGTGCACTTAGGAGTCTGTGGAGACAAAGAACTTTGTCCTTGGAGGCAAAGAGGGGAATGTATGAGAGTATAGTTTTACCAACGCTCTTATATGGGTGTGAAGCGTGGGTGATGAATGTTGCAGCGAGGAGAAGGCAGTGGAGATGTCGTGTCTGAGGGCAATGTGTGGTGTGAATATAATGCAGAGAATTCGTAGTTTGGAAGTTAGGAGGAGGTGCGGGATTACCAAAACTGTTGTCCAGAGGGCTGAGGAAGGGTTGTTGAGGTGGTTCGGACATGTAGAGAGAATGGAGCGAAACAGAATGACTTCAAGAGTGTATCAGTCTGTAGTGGAAGGAAGGCGGGGTAGGGGTCGGCCTAGGAAGGGTTGGAGGGAGGGGGTAAAGGAGGTTTTGTGTGCGAGGGGCTTGGACTTCCAGCAGGCATGCGTGAGCGTGTTTGATAGGAGTGAATGGAGACAAATGGTTTTTAATACTTGACGTGCTGTTGGAGTGTGAGCAAAGTAACATTTATGAAGGGATTCAGGGAAACCGGCAGGCCGGACTTGAGTCCTGGAGATGGGAAGTACAGTGCCTGCACTCTGAAGGAGGGGTGTTAATGTTGCAGTTTAAAAACTGTAGTGTAAAGCACCCTTCTGGCAAAACAGTGATGGAGTGAATGATGGTGAAAGTTTTTCTTTTTCGGGCCACCCTGCCTTGGTGGGAATCGGCCAGTGTGATAATAATAGATAATAATTTCTATTTTATCGACTGAGAACAAGAAATCACCCAATCAACTATTTAAACTACCCAATAAAGTGATAGGAAATCAGTAATTTGGCCAATTTCACACAAAGTTTAAAATACTCCAATTTCAAAATAAGGTCCAGAATAAACAATGCAGGCATTCCTGGCACTAAAATAACATTTCCTCTGTTATCAGTTATGTTTCCAGGCTTTACAAATGAATTCCACTTTGACTTTTTATTCACACCATAAAATAGAAGATCTACTGTTATGCAATATTGTAATAATTGAATAAATAATATCAGTGTATTCATGAATGCACATTAGATCGACCAGCTGATGTATATTGGACGTGTGATGTGACGTGTTTATCCTTGAACATCGACAAAATCAAACATTTCCGCTAATTTGAGCTCAGCTTCAAGCCCTTTTCAGTGCTAAAACCAATCAAAATCATCTCTATTTCTGTAATATATCTTCAATTCTATCAAATGAGACCAAGAAACCGCGAATACAACTGTAAAAAACATATGAAAATACACAGCAAATTTGCTGTTTTAATCTGAAAACACAGTTGCAGTTTTTTTCTCATTATGCACTGTGTGCTGCAGGATTTGTTTTATATCGTGCACACTTACCACATAGATGCATTCTCTCATATCTAGGCCCAAATTTACCACTCACAGCTTATCTGAGCAAGCTGAGCTCATGGCGTAGAACTACGGCTTGGACCCAGGCTTCAAAGCCGAAGAACTACGGGACGGACCCTCAAAGGGTTAAGTACTTTCCACACACATATTATCACAAATTTCTTTTGCCTCCCCTCCAGCGAGTGCATATTCAGGACCTCAAGGTGTTCCTAGCACTTTCAGTGCTTTACTGGCTCTGAATGGAGCCATCAACACTGTACAATACTATAAATGAGAGCACAAATGATTTGAATAGTGTCACCATTGGCACTATTTCCCTTGTTTTTAAAGCTCTCATTATCCATCCTATCATTTTTCTGACTGTCGTGACATTTGCCTCATTGATTTCTTTAAAAGAAAAGTCAGCTGACATAATTACTTCATATAAACCTACCATCCGACTTACGACCTGCTCAACATACGACCACTCGACTTACAACCGTGTTTTGTATGCCAAACTTCTGAGAAATAAACAACTGTTTGTGTTGTACACAGTGTTTATCCTAAACCTTACAGTATAAAATACAGTGTTAACAGCATAAAAAGTAAAGTAAAAAATGAAATACCAAAATAAAACAATAAAATAAAGCCATTACAAAAATGTTATGTTGATATTCAGTAGTAAGGTTCGACTTACGTCCATTTCAACTTACGACTGGTTGGTCGGAACCAAGCTCGGTCGTAAGTCGGATGGTACCTGTATTTCTTTTGTTTTCAGTACTCCTTACAATTTGCTATTTTCATAATATGGCGAGATTATAATTTCATTTTAGAGAATTACAGTATAGGCAATGTATTTGCAATAAATTCAGACATCCCTGGGCGGAGGAAAACTACCGACTTGATCCTGAAGCCAGGCACCAGTGGATGTTGTGTAGGGCAATTTATTGTCTATCACTGAGATAACATATTTTCTTGAGAACAGACATTATTGTGGATTTATTTTCAAAGTTTCTATGTGCATAGTTTCTATGTACATAAAAAACATAACAGTAATAAAATTATAGACAGCTAGGTTATATACAAAAGATAAGTGTATGTATAAAAAAAAATTCAAAGGTTTGATGATACAGGCAATTGTATACTTACAATTTCTTAATGAAAATTTGATGCCTGAACTGTTATTTGCATGAGAATTAGCTCCCCTTGCAAGTGCTGAAAATTGCAAACATTCTAAGTTAATGGAGCATTCTTCATTTAGCCGACGCGCTCTGTCTGAGGCTGAAGCTGATGATAGGGCAGATGCACCTGCATATGCACTGGTTGCAGAGGGCTTCAAGACATCTTGACCACCAAGGAGTTGATATACAGAACTTAACTGGAAACTGGGTTCATTCAGTAATGTTCTTGTTGCCACTTGGGCTTTGGGGTTTACTGGTGGAATAGGAAGAAAATCATATGAACTTCAAATACCACTGAAATTTACATTAATGATGATGATGATGTTTACTTTGAACAACACATAAATCACATGATGATTATATGATGATGTCTATTTTAACTAGGAGCAAGGGGCTAGTAACCCCTTCTCCTGTTTATATTACTAAATTTAAAAGGAGAAATTTTCATTTTTCCTGTTGAGCCATCCTGCCTCGGTGGGATACGGCCAGTTTGTTGAAAGAAGAGGTCTATTTTAACTATACATCACATGATGTTGACATCTATTTTTAACAATAAATCATACAAAAGAGGGAAAGGTACCTAGGGACTGGCAGAAAGCATGCATAGTTCTTTTGTATAAAGGAAAGGGGGACAAAAGAGTGTGCAAAAAATATAGGGTAATAAGCCTGTTGAGTATACCAGCTAATGTGTATGACAGTTATTATTAAAACAACTGGTCCTTTCAGGGTTGAAACCCTGATCTCAAGCTTGCTCTCAAGGTTAAAGTTATATATAAAAAAAAAAAAATAATGAACTGATAGAGAATCTTTTTCCGAAGGTAATGAAACCAAAAATACAAAAATTACACAAATAACCCGCACATAAAAGAGAGAAGCTTACGACGACGTTTCGGTCCGATTTGGACCATTGACAAAGTCACACTAACCAGAGGTGGAGCAGGACAGCTATATATAGGCAGGAAGAGGTGGTGGTAGTAGTAGTAGTAGTAGTAGTAGTAGTAGTAGTAGTAGTAGTAGTAGTAGTAGTACAAGAGTTGTATATAATACCGACAAGATGAAATTAAGACACATGCACAACACCCCGGCATCCCCATCATAGACGCTTCGCCATCCAGCCAGCCACTGGATGGCGAAACGTCCACAACAAAGACAACCAGACGCCGCACATGTGTCTCAATTTCATCAGTAGTTGTAGTAGTAGTAGAAGAAGAAGAGGTAGTAGTAGTGGTAGTGGAAGAAGTGGGAAATAAAAAGGACGAGCCAGTCAAATACAAAGGAAGGGGAGCACTGCAAGAGAGCTAGATGCCCACAGAGGGAGAGCAAGCGCACAGAGGTGCGTGAAAGGGAAGTGGTGAAATAAATGAAGAAGGAACAAAAACACGAGACAGGAGAGAGAAAGACAACCCAGAGGAGAAATGGAAAGAGGAAAGGGGAAGAGGAAGAAGAAGAAAAAGAAAAAGAAATGAGGATTCAGGTTAAGTCACGGGTGTTCTGAAGTTTGGAGCATTTTACAATGTAGTGGGAGAGGAAGGCATCTACAGAGACGAAGCCAGGGCTAAGGTTCATACAAGGAAAGTTGTGTATTAGAGAGGATTCAACTAGACAGCGACTGTTCGAGTTGTAAGTAGGGAAGACAGTTTTAGCAGAAGACCAGTCAATAGGATGGCTATGATCTCTGACGTGACAGAAAAGAGCATTGTTACTGTCGGCAAGCCTAACACTATTTTTGTGCTCCCTAAGTCTGTCAGAAAGAGATCGACCAGTTTCTCTTTCTGACAGACTTAGGGAGCACAAAAATAGTGTTAGGCTTGCCGACACTAACAATGCTCTTTTCTGTCACGTCAGAGATCATAGCCATCCTATTGACTGGTCTTCTGCTAAAACTGTCTTCCCTACTTACAACTCGAACAGTCGCTGTCTAGTTGAATCCTCTCTAATACACAACTTTCCTTGTATGAACCTTAGCCCTGGCTTCGTCTCTGTAGATGCCTTCCTCTCCCACTACATTGTAAAATGCTCCAAACTTCAGAACACCCGTGACTTAACCTGAATCCTCATTTCTTTTTCTTTTTCTTCTTCTTCCTCTTCCCCTTTCCTCTTCTCCTCTGGGTTGTCTTTCTCTTTCCTGTCTCTTGTTTCTGTTCCTTCTTCATTTATTTCACCACTTCCCTTTCACGCACCTCTGTGCGCTTGCTCTCCCTCTGTGGGCATCTAGCTCTCTTGCAGTGCTCCCCTTCCTTTGTATTTGACTGGCTCGTCCTTTTTATTTCCCACTTCTACCACTACCACTACTACTACCTCTTCTTCTTCTACTACTACTACAACTACTGATGAAATTGAGACACATGTGCGGCGTCTGGTTGTCTTTGTTGTGGACGTTTCGCCATCCAGTGGCTGGCTGGATGGCGAAGCGTCTATGATGGGGATACCGGGGTGTTGTGCATGTGTCTTAATTTCATCTTGTCGGTATTATATACAACTCTTGTACTACTACTACTACTACTACTACCACCACCTCTTCCTGCCTATACATAGCCGTTCTGCTCCACCTCTGGTTAGTGTGACTTTGTCAATGGTCCAAATCGGACCGAAACGTCGTCGTAAGCTTCTCTCTTTTATGTGTGGGTTATTTGTGTATCGTTCCAGTCACGGTATTGTGCCTTTTTTGTTATTTAAATACAAAAATTGATGGAAAACTTACAGAATTACACCCGCAAATTTAGCAGTCTCAGCGATATTTATGCATTGGTGATTTTGCCCACTTTGCACCCTATTTTTGGCCAATTCCACTGTTCCAGGCAACCAAACTCACAGCTATTTCACTAGTATTCCTCCTATTCTATTGAGTACACAAAACTGCCCATTTACCCATTTCAACTACCCAAGAAAGCGATCAGAAATCGGTAATTTGGCCAATTTCACACAAAATTAAAAAATTGTTAATTAAAAAATATGGTTCAGAATAAACAATGTGGACATTCCTAGCACTAAAAAAAAATATCCTCTTTTCTTAGTCACATCTCCAAGGCCCTTTAATATTACACTAGCTTTTCATTTTGAATTTTTATTCACACACAAAAAAAAATTGCTGTTATGCAGACTACTGCATTATTGTAATAAATGTATAAATAATGTCAGTGCATTCTTAAATGCATATCAGACTGGCCAGTCGGATGCGTATTGGATAAGTGATGTCATTTGTGTACTCTGGAATACTGGCAAAAATCAAACATTTCCACTACTTATAGTTCAACTTCAAGCTACTTTCAGTCTTGAAACCAATCAAAATCATCTCTATTTCTGTAATATATCTTCCATTCTATCAAATGAGACCAAGAAATTGAGAATACAACCATATGAAAATACACTGCAAAGTCGCTGTTTTAAACCAAAAACAGTTGCTTTTTTTTTCCTCATTATGCACTGTGTGCTACAGGATTTTTTTATACTGTGCACACTTACTGCATAGACCCATTCTCTCATATCAAGGCCCAAATTTACCGTTCACAGTTTATCTGAGTGAGCTGAGCTCATGGCATAGCACAACAGGACTGACCCTGACTTCAAAGCCGTAGTACAACGGGACCGACATCGAAAGGGTTAAGGGTAAGATGGAGAGCAGGATCACAGATGAATAATAGGAAGGGTAGGGGATATATGTGTAGACCAAGTGTTTACGTCGAAGCATGCAAATGAACAATATTTAGATAAAAGTAGAGAATTTTTTGTTGCATTTAAGAATTTAGAAAAGGCATACAATAGGGTGGATAGGGGAGCAATGTGGCAGATATTGCAAGTGTATGGAATAGGTGGTAGGTTACTGAAAGCAGTTAAGAGTTTTTATGAGAATAGTGAGGCTCATGCTAGGGCATGTAGGAAAGAGGGAGATTATTTTCCAATAAAAGTAGGCCTCAGACAGGGATGTGTGTTATCACCATGGTTGTTTAACACATTTATAGATGGGGTTGTAAAAGAAGTGGGAAGAGGCATGGGATTAACCCTTTGACTGTTTCGGTCGTATATATACGTTTTACGAGCCAATGTGTTTGATGTATATATACTCAAAAATTCTAGCGTCTTCAAATCAAGCAGGAGAAAGCTGGTAGGCCCACATGTGAGAGAAGGGGTCTGTGTGTTCAGTGTGCACCATATAAAAAAAATCCTGCAGCACGCAGTGCATAATGAGAAAAAAAAAAACTGACCATGTTTTTGGATTAAAACGCCGAATTTGTGATGTATTTTCATATAGTATTTATGATTGTATTCTCGTTTCTTGGTCTCAATTGATAGAATGGAAAACATATTATAGAAATAGAGGTGATTTTGATTGGTTTTACTATAAAAAGAACTTTGAATTGGAGCTTAAATTAGGGGAAATGTTTGATTTTTGCCGATGTTCAAAAGTAAACAAATGATGTCATTGTCTAATAAATGTCCAACTAGCCATTCTAATATGCAGTCATGAATGGGCTGACATTATTTATACAATTGTTACAATATTGCAGTAGTCTGCCTAACAGTAAATCTTCTATTTTTTGTTTGAATAAAAATTCAAAATAGAAAGCAAGAGTAATATCAGAGGGGCCTGGAGATGTGACTGATGAACAAAGGAAATGTTATTTTAGAGCCAGGAATGTATGCATTGTTCATTCTGGACCCTATTTTGAAACTGGCATATTTTTTAATTTGTGTGAAACTGGCCAAATTGCAAATTTCTGACCATGTTATTGGGTAGTTGAAATCAGTAAATGGGTAGTTTCTTGTACTCAATCGATCGACCAAATGGAGTTCTAAAGAAATAGCTATGAGTTTGGTTGACTGGAACAATAGAATTAGCCGAAAATAGGGCTCAAAATGGGCGAAATCGCTGATACGTAAATATCGCCACGGTCGCTAACTTCGCGAGAGCGTAATTCCGTAAGTTTTCTATCAAATTTCGTTCTTTTGGTGTCATTACCATCGGGAAAAGGTTCTCTATCATTTCATAAGATTTTTTTTTTTTTTTTTTCAAAAATTTTTCAACACCAGGAGACACCTCAGGATTTGGGGTTGTGACAGTCAAAGGGTTAAAAATGTATAGAATCTAATGCAAAGTGGGAGCTGTCACAGTTGATTTTTGCTGATGGCACTTTTCTTTCAGGAGACTCTGAAGAGAAGTTGCAAAGGTTGATGGAAGAATTTGGGAGGGCATGTAAAAGAAGAGGAAATTAAAAGAGAAAATAGGGAACAGCCAGTATGTTTGCAATATATGCAAATATACCAAACTGCACAGCATTAGCTTTTAGAGTATTTAAACTAATAACAAAATTAGAAATACAGTGATGAAAACTATAGTGAAAGCAGTATACTGCATTTCCAACTAACAATGTATTTTAACATATTCTAATGCATTTTTTTTATTATGCATTAGAGTATATGGACAAACATACTTTCCCCCCTTAAAGTGGGGATATTCATGGACAACACTACTGACCACTATCCAACTTTCCTCCTAACAAACATTTGTAAGCAACCAATGGAATATATGTACTAAGTTCTCTTTTCGACTCCATGACGAGACATCAATAAGTAACTTCACTGCAGAGCTAAGCTCAAATGACTGGCCTACAGAATTCTTCAATGCTTTTGGTATGAAAGAATGGGTAGACATATTTCTAAACAAAATACATAGACTATGTAACAAACACTGTCCCATAAAAACTAAACAGATCAATAATAAAAGACTAAGTTGCCCATGGCTTACTAACAACATCCTAAGATCCATCAATATGAAACATCATCATGAAAAACAATATAGAAGGGGCTTAATTACTAAAGAATTCATCAAAAACTACATGTCAATCCTCACCAAATTAATCAGAAAGTCCAAGCAATTATACTATTCTAATAGATTCACTGAAATGAGAGGTGATATTAAAAAGACCTGGAAAACATTCTCTCAGATCCTGGGCACCCTCAAACCAAACAAAACTAGTAATATTGTACTAACTAAACCAAATGAACCAAAACTCCAGCCCACCGATACAGCTAACAAGATAAATGACTTATGAAACATAGAATCAAATCTTGCCAGTAAAATTCCAATTACCAATGCCTGAGCTAATGATTATCTAGAAGGAAACTTCCCAACATCCCTCTATCTTGGACCAACTGAGCCCACTGAGGTTACCATGATTATTAACTCTCTAAAAAACAAATCACCACTACTGTATAAACGAGTGGCTCAAATCTTTTAACCTACCATTGCATTACTCTTTAACAAATCACTAGAAAGCAACACATTCCTGGCATTACTCAAAATAGTAAGGAAAACACCAATACAAAAAGATGGTAACCCAACAGATGTAAACAATTATAGCCCAATATAAAACTTGATTTTACTTTCCAAAATCTTCGAGAAGCTCACACAAAAAAGATTATACTCCTTCATAATATCACAAAGCATCCTCAACCCCTGCCAGTTTGGCTTCAGGAGAAACAAAAGCACAAACGATGCAATAATAAAAATGCTAGACCTACTTTACACAGCACTTGAAAAATAAATACCCGCTTGGATGCTACTTGTACAGTAGACCACAGCATCCTACCCCTCAAGCTTGATCATTACGGTATAAGAGGCCACACACTTACATATATCAAGTCATACCTTACTAACAGAAAGCAATACATCTCGATCAATTACACAGCCTCCTGAACAAGACCCCTGGATACTGGTGTACCACAGGGAAGCATTCTTGGCCCCTCCTTTTCCTTCTATACATCAACGACCTTCCAAGCATATCTCAACAACTTATGCCTATTCTCTTTGCTGACAATACAACTGTTGTCATCTCTCACGCTAATCTAGCTTCACTCAGTACTATTGTTAATGAAGAGCTTGCAAAAATAGCAACCTGGATGACTGTCAATAAACTTACACTGAATATAGACAAAACCTTTTACATTATGTTTGGGAGTAAAGCAAGTGAGGTCCAATTAAACATAATGCTTAACAACATCCTTATTGGTAAACATAATGAGGGAAAATTCCTGGGTTTACTCCTTGACAGCAACCTGAAATTCAACACCCATATCCAACACATAACAAAAAAAGTATCCAAAACAGTTGGCATCCTTTCAAAGATATGCTACTATGTACCATAAACAGCACTACTTACACTATACTATTCACTGATCTATCCCTACCTCACCTCTTCAATTTGTGCCTGGGGCTCCACAATGGCAAATCACCTAAAGCCAATAATAACCCAACAAAAAGATGCAGTGCGAATGATCACACAATCCACAGCTAGACAACCCTCCTCCCCCACTTTTCAAACACCTAAACCTACTCACTATACAAAACAGAACAATCAATTCCCACATAAATCCTGACCTTAAGTGTTCTTGACAGTTGCAATAGGATCCATGGACACAATACTAAACACAAAAATCTCTATGACATTACCCGGGTCAGGTTAAATCTTTTCAAAAACTCAATGTACATTAAAGGACCCAAAATCTGGAACTCTCTGTTAGAAATCTCCAGAACCCCTGACTCAACTAGCATTTTTAAAACTACAGTTAGAAAACCCCTTTTGTCCTTAGCCTATCCTAGCCCATCATAAATAAATATGTAAAAAACCTATATATGCATTTACTCAATATCATGAACATAGGTAAATCATTATAATCAATATATGCTTACTCTCAATATCTGTAATCATCTCAAATATAATGTTAATTATTCCATTGTGTCCACCTTAGGTTAATAATCAAAACTGTAATTCTTCTTTATCAAACTTATTAAAGCCATATACCATGAACTAATAGAATAATCAATTTTCTTGTATTCATTATAACTCGCCTAATGACCATATGTACAATTTTGCACTGTTATTGCCTTATAATCTGGTCGCGACCCAATTTGGTTGTGACCTGAACCTATTTTCCCCATTGGATTGTATGTACTAAATACGATTAATCCATTCCAGACCCCTATGAACAATATGTAATTTTTTTTTTTTTTAGATTTTTAAGCATAAAAATAGTTAATTATACCACAAAATGCACACTGTAATAGTAAACTAAATGAAAAAAAACCTTGAATAACACTAAGAAAACCTTGAACAACAGAGAAAACTAACATTGCACGAGTCCGTTCTAGACCCCTACGAACCGTTCACTGTAGAGTTCTTTTCTTAAGAGTTTTAGGCAAAGAAAAGATAATCAAAGTTCAAAAAATCCTTAATTATACAAAATAGTGCACAGTTTAATAGAGAAAAAACCTTAAATAACAGAGTTAGGTGTACACAAATAGCAGAGTTAGGTGTACATAAATAACAGAGTTAGGTCTGCACAAACAACAGGAAGTGGGGAAAATTGGCACCTGCCTAAAAAATGGTGCAGAATGTGAAAATTGGCGCAGCTGTGTTTTTTCAGCACCCAATTATGTTTGTGACCAGATGCAAAAATTTGGCAAATTTTTTGGTCGTAAACCAATTCGTGTTCAGAAGCATTTGTGACTAGAGATTTCACTTTACTCCTTTGTAAAAACATGTATCATGCTAAAATAAAAATTATTATTATTATTATTATTATTATTATTATAAAGATACTCATTCAGGCTCACAGTGCCAACAAGAAGTGTCTTCTTACCTTGTACAAAATCATGACTGATGAGAGTCACTAGGATCCCAGTCACTGCTGTAAGTATGGGGTACTGGTGAATAGTTTCTAATCCTGGTATCTCTAGGCCTACAACGTGTCCAAAGCATCCAGACCATCCACTTACACGGTTAAGAACTTGACATAATAACTGTGATAAAAAAAAAAAGGTGAAAGATTACTACTGTACTCAGAATATAATAGCTCTTTCTTAAATGCATGAAAAATATAATTGTGATGAAGCTAATGACCAGTATTTGCATGTTTATTGCTCTGGAAATCATTGCTCTCTTAACCACAGCCCTCAGAGCCCGGTCTCAGACCAGCATCCTACACCCAAAGTGAACATTATAGTAATAATAATTTAATAATAATAATAATACTGTAATCTTTATTTACTATGTTTAAAAACAAAAACTATTTTTTTGTCACCCTGCTTTGATGGGATAAGGCTAGTGTTAAAAACAAAAATATTTCTACAAGTATATGTACAAGATATACAGGCCTAGGTGACATCAATGACATACTACTATAGAGCAAGCCCCTTGTTATGCAGAGCATTTCGGGCAAATTAGGTCACTTCTGTCCCCTGAAATGCAACACACACCAGTCAGCTAACATCCAGGTACCTGTTTTACTGACAGGTGAACATGAACAGCAGGTGCCTTAACGAAACACATCCTAATGTTTCCACCTGTACCAGGGATTGAACCATGGACCTCAGTGTGTGAGCTGAGTGCACTCAAGCTACAGGACACCCTATATTTAAGCAGACAAATGTAAAAATTTACCTGCCATCTTAATTGTTCATGAGACAAAAAGAAAAGACCAGGAAGTGGAAAATTTTCAACAGGATTCTGTTTTATACACATGACATGATGGTAGCACCGCCCTGCTTGATTGATCAACAAATCCATTTACAACACTGGGTTTCAAATCTACACAAACTATTCTTATATCCTATCTGTAAAATTATCTTCATATACTTTCATTTTACTGTAGTGTTGAATATGGCAGAGAATTTTTTTTTTTGCAAATAATTTTGCATGTATTTTCCACATGCTTGCATTGAGAAACGTAAAATGTGCATAAAAAAGTGGATTGAGAAAAAAGAAAAAAAAAAAAAAAAGAGAAAAAAAAAGTCACATTACTGTGGCCGGCAGTGGTCCAGGACAGACCAAAATATCCTCATAAGGTTTCTCTTCTGACTTCTAAGTGACTGAGTAGCTATGAACAGGTGAGAAGCTATTATGAAAATAAAGATACATTATACGGAGGAGGCAAAGAGGGGAATGTATGAGAGTACAGTTTTACCAATGCTCTTATATGGGTGTGAAGCATGGGTGATGAATGTTGCAGCAAGGAGAAGGCTGGAGGCAGTGGAGATGTCATGTCTGAGGGCAATGTGTGGTGTGAATATAATGCAGAGAATTCGTAGTTTGGAAGTTAGGAGGAGGTGCGTGATTACCAAAACTGTTGTCCAGAGGGCTGAGGAAGGGTTGTTGAGGTGGTTCGGACATGTAGAGAGAATGGAGCGAAACAGAGTGACTTCAAGAGTGTATCAGTCTGTAGTGGAAGGAAGGCGGGGTAGGGGTCGGCCTAGGAAAGGTTGGAGGGAGGGGGTAAAGGAGGTTTTGTGTGCGAGGGGCTTGGACTTCCAGCAGGCATGCGTGAACGTGTTTGATAGGAGTGAATGGAGACAAATGGTTTTTAATACTTGACGTGCTGTTGGAGTGTGAGCAAAGTAACATTTACGAAGGGGTTCAGGGAAACCGGCAGGCCGGACTTGAGTCCTGGAGATGGGAAGTACAGTGCCTGCACTCTGAAGGAAGGGTGTTAATGTTGCAGTTTAAAAACTGTAGCGTAAAGCACCCTTCTGGCAAGACAGTGATGGAGTGAATGATGGTGAAAGTTTTTCTTTTTCGGGCCACCCTGCCTTGGTGGGAATCGGCCAGTGTGATAATAAAAAAAAAAATAATATTATACGGTACAGTAGGGCCCAGCTTTATAGTGTTCTGCTAATATGGACATTTCAAATTATGACCAAAACTTGCTATACGGCTCCCCCCACCCGACTTTCTAATATGGCCAACACACACCACCCAGTTTGTTTACATTGCCTGTGAGCTCCGTGTCTCTCCATTTTGTCTGGAAACTTTTCAAAATTTGAAGTGTTTTAAAGTTATTTCATTATTTTTTTTTATTAACACATCGGCCACCTCCCACCAAGGTAGGGTGGGCCCCCCAAAAAAAAAACTTTTACCATCATTCACTCCATTGCTGTCTTGCCAGAGGCACGCTTACACTACAGTTATAAAACTGCAACATTAACACCCCTCCTTCAGAGTGTAGGCACTGTACTTCCCATCTCCAGGACTCAAGTCTGGCCTTCTGGTTTCCCTGAATCTCTTCATAAATATTACCCTGCTCATACTCCAACAGCACATCAAGCCTAAAAACCATTCGTCTCCATTTGCTCCTAACATGCTCACGCATGCTTGCTGGAAGTCCAAGCCCCTCACACACAAAACCTCCTTTACCCCCTCCCTCCAACCTTTCCTAGACTGACCCTGCCTTCCCTCCACTACAGATTTATACACTGTTGAAGTAATTCTATTTTGTTCCATCCTCTCTACACGTTCAAACCACCTCAACAACAACTCCTCAGCCCTCTGGATAATAGTTTTGGTAATCCCGCACTTCCTCCTAATTTCCAAACTACAAATTCTCTGCATTATATTCACACCACACACTGCCCTCAGACACGACATCTCCACCACCTCCAGCCTTCTTCTTGTTGCAACATTTATCACCCATGCTTCACATCCATATAGAAGTTTTCGAATAACTATACTCTCATACATTCCCCACTTTGCTTCATGGATAAAGTTCTTTGTCTCAAATAAAAAAAAAAAGGCACAATACCATGACTGGAATGGGACAAGAGAGGTAGTAGTAAAGGAGGAAGAGAGGTAGTGGTAGAGGTACTAGTAGTAGTAATGGAGTCAGTCAAATACTGAAAAAAGGAGCATTGCAAGGGAGCTAGGGGCCCACAAAGAGTAGGAACAAGAACACAGAGGGGGTAAAAAATAATAACAATGGACCAAATACTCGAGGCAGAAGAAAGAAAACCCAAAGGAGAAAGAGGAAAGGGGAAAAGGAAAAAGGGGAAAAAAGAATCAGGTTAGGTCATGGGTGTTTTGAGGCTTGGAGCATTTTACAGTGTAATGGGAAAGGAAGGCATGTACAGAGACAAAGTCAAGACTAAGATTCATAAAAGGAAAGTTGTGTATAAGGGAGGATTCAACCAGACGGCAACTGTGAAAGTTAGAAGTAGGGTAGACAGTTTTAGCAGACGACCAGTCAATAGAATGACTGCGATCTCTGACACTGTTCAACATTTTTATGTCATCTGTCCCTCTCTGCCCTATTTCTATGGCCTTACCAAAGCTCACAAACCTGATATTCCTCTGCATCCCATCATATCCTCTAGAAGTTCTGCCTTTTATTCTCTTGCCTCTTGAGTGGCCACAACCCTCACTCCCTTTCTTGGTACTTTTTCTCCTGCCCACCTTCGTCACTCTCAAGACCTGTAAGATGCTTAGTCTTGATGTTGAGTCCCTCTTCACTAATGTCCCTCTGGATGATGTCCTTAATTTTCTCAGAGAGAAGGCCAATGAAGAGTTACTTCATCTCCCTCTATCTACTGATGTCTTTCTTGATCTTATCTGCCTTAATGTGGACTCTAATTTCTTTTCCTTTCAAGGCAAATAATTCCCAAACCTTCGGTGTTGCTATGGGCTCTCTATCTCCTGTTCTTGATAATCTTTACATGGAATACTTCGAGACTGTTCTTCTTCCTACTACTGATGTGCACCCTTCACTCTGGCTCAGCTATGTAGATGACAGCTTTGCTCTTTTGCCTCATTACTCTGATCTCTTCCAACCATTTATTGATGCCCTTGATAATCTTGCCCCTTCCATTAAGTTTCAAGCTGAATGGGAATCTAATTCCTTGCTTCCTTTCCTTGATGTTTATGTCTACTGGTCAGATACAGGTTTTGCTTTTTCCGTGTACAGCAAGCCTATGCACAGTGGCACGTACATTCACTACTTTTCTCATCGTGCTTCCACTGTCAAGAAAAGTGTTCTTATCTCCCTCTTTCTCTGTGCTCTCTGCATTTGTGATCCTCAGTTCCTTGAATCAGAAATTTCCACTCTTCATAATTCATTTTCCTCTTTGCTACCCTTCCCATTTCATAGACTCTGCCTTCTCATGTGCTAAATGGACCTTCTTCTCCCCCAAACTTTCTACTCCTGGGAACTCTCCTGTCCTCTGCCTTCCCTACATTTCCAGTCTTTCCAATCTCAACAACTCTCTCCGTTCCTTATTCATCAAACTTACTTTCGCCAGACTAACACTCTTCGCACCAATTTAGTTCATACCTCTCCTCCCTCTATGGATGCTCCTGGTGTCTACTCTATTTCTTGTTCCTCCTATTCCCTTCAGTACTTTGGAGAAACTGGCAGGTTTCTTTCTGACAGACTCAAGGAGCACAAAAGTAGTGTTAGGCTTGCTGACACCAACAATGCTCTTTTCTCTCATGTCAGAGATCACAGTCATCCTATTGACTGGTCTTCTGTTAAAACTGTCTACCATATTTGTAACTTACACAGTTGACATCTGGTTGAATCCTCCCTTATACACAACTTTCCTTGTATGAATCTTAGTCCTGGCTTTGTCTCTGTAGATGCCGTCCTTTCCCATTACATTGTAAAATGCTCCAAACTTCAGAACACCTGTGACCCAACCTGATTCTTTTTTCCCCATCTCCCTTTTCCCCTTTCCTCTTTCTCCTTTGGGTTTTCTTTCATCTGCCTTGGGTATTTGGTCCATTATTATTATTTTTCCCCCTCTATGTTCTTGTTCCTACCCTTTGTGGGCCCCTAGCTCCCTTGCAGTGCTCTTTTTTTAGTATTTGACTCCACTACTACTACCTCTACCACTACTTCCTTTCCTACTGTAGGGGTACCCCAGGGTAGTGTTCTAGGCCCACTCCTCTTTCTCATCTACATCAATGATCTCCCCAATGCATCCCAACTCCTTAAACCAGTTCTATTCGCAGATGACACTACATATGTCTACTCCCA